GCACAATGCTGGAGGCAAAGCCTCTTCAAAGTTGACCATCTTTGAGTAAATTTCAAATTTGAGTACTTCAAATAGCTTTGGAATTTACTTAAGCACATCTTTCTACCTCCATTAGAAGTCCTGAAACTAGTTAATGTGATACAGAGGAATGCTACAGTCAAGAAACAGACTGGATGAATTTGGTAAGCCAATGGGGAGGGCTGCTAGTTCCCCTCTCCTACCAGGGGGATTCTCTTTATGGGGAGGGTGATTTTGGAGAGGGCTTATCGTCTCGATCTTTTCTATTCTTTCTCTCTGGGATATGATTCTCATCATCATCATAATAGCTAGCATTTATATAGCCCTTTAAAGTTTGCAAGACATTTTATAAATATTACCTCATTTGATCCTCATAATAGCCCTGGGAGGTAGGTAATATTATTATCCCCATATTACGCATGAGGAATCTGAAGCGGATGGGTTAAGTGACTAGCTCAGGGTTACGCAGTTAGTATCTAGGTAGGATTTGAACTCGGGTCTTCCTGACTCTAAGTTCATGACTCTATCCACTGTACCACCTCCCCTTCTCTAATCAAGGGGGTTTTACAGGTAACAAAGGAAAACATTGTAACAATGAGAGTAATGCTGGAATAGAAGGGGTTGCTTTGGGGGTAAGGGTAATGAATTTCCTATTTCTGGAGATCTCTAAGCAAAGGCTGTGCATGTTCACAGTGGGCCTTGTTCAGAAGAACAAGATGGACACTGAGACTGCTTCCAAATCTAGATTCTGTTATTTCCATGACTTAAAGGATGGTGTAAGCAGCTCTAATGCTATACCCAGAGCTCTAAGGACTTAAGAAAATTGAAGCCAACAGATATGAGTGCCTGCTGCATGCCTGGCATTGTAGCTTGCTATACGGTGGCAGTGCGGTATAATGGAAAGACTACTGGGCTGGAAATCAAGTAACAAGATCCAGTCACGCATGGCTTTGTCTCTACGGGTCGTTTGACCCTGGGCAAGCCACTTCAACTTTCTGAGCCTCAGTTTCCTTATCTGTGCAATGAGGGGCTTGGATTAGGTGACCTATAAGGCCCCTTCTAATGAGATAATATTGGTAAAGCATTTAGCATAGTGCCTGACACATGGTAGGCTCATTCCTTCCTTTCTTTACAGGTCTATGTTTCCATGGGCTACAATGCTTAGCTCAAGTTCAATTCAGTTAACATGTTTAAACTTTAGTTAGTTCAAGAGTGAAACTCTAACCCTAACCATTAAGTTTTTCAGGTGAGGAACTCTCCCTCCCCCCCTTCCCTCTCCAACCCCTTAATGGGAGAGATAAAATATTATATGTAAGCAAATAACCGTCTTGTGTTTGTCTCCTCCGTGTGTACTCCAGCACCATTCACATAGTAGGCACTTACTAAATATTTGTTGAATTTCAGGAGATATATTTTTTTGTCATTATAGCTCCATTGCCAAGCACAGTGCCTTGGACATTGAGGCACTTACTAAATTTTTGTTGGCTTGTTTGTTTAATTGAATTATGGAGGAAACTGGGGTTCTAGGAGGGAAATGACATTTGGAGAGCTGCGTTATGGTTGTGAAAGTTGACTTGTATTGGACTTGGAGTCGGGAAGATCTGAGTTCAAATCCTTCTTCAGACACTAGCTGTGTGATGTTGGGCAAGTTACCCAACATCTACTAACCTCAGTTTCCTCCTTATAAAATAGGGATAATAATAGCGCCTACCTCAGAGGTTTGTTGTGAGGGTCAAAGGAGATAATATAGGTAGAGTTCTTTCCAAATCTTCAAGGGCTATATAAATGTGAGCTATTATTATTATTAATGTTTTGTTGTTAATTATTGTTGTTTACTATTATATGTGCCTGGCTATACATACCGTACAACATGACATATAAAGGCATTTACTTTAGCACTCCACCGCTAATTGTTTCACATTGTTCTTGGGTTATGTGTAAATATCTCATCTTCCCAAGAAGATTGTGTTTGCAAGCTCTTTGAACACAGAGGCCACAACATATGCTGCTTTATATCCATTATAGCCCTCAGACTTGATAGTGGTCTTTGGGTTGAGTTAAGTATTTAGTAAAGGCTGTTTGCTGATATTTGAGTGGAAGAAGACATTGCTGAGACCAACATAGCTTGGCAAAACCATCTCTGCTTCTTCCAGGAGACCCTTCTGGAGGGTCAAATTCATACATAGAATCTCAGAGTTGGAAGAAACCCATGAAGCCATCTAGCTCAACCTGAACTTTAGCAAAAACAAAAAAACAAAAAAACCCCCAACTCTTGACCCCATCCCCAGAAAGCATGCCTTTGTTTGAAGACCTAAAGTGAAGGGGAATCCACTAATTTTTGCATTAGCCTTTTGGATAGCTCTCGATGCCAGGAAGTTTTTCTTTATATTTAGGATAAATCTTCTTAAGAACTCTGTGACTTCTACCCATTGCTACTGTAATGTCATGGCAGAACAAGTCTAATTTCTCTTTCATATTAGAAACCTTCAAATATTTGCTTACAACTCTCACACAAAATCTTTGTGTGAATATATTGGAAACCAGACTTGACTGGAATCTAGAATTCAAATCTGGTTTCAGCTGGACCACTAGCTAAGTACTTGCATGACATTAGCCATGTTATTTAATTTCTCTGGGCCTCAGTTTCCTCTTCTGGAAGTGAAAGGGTTGAACTAGATGGTTTCTAAGGCACCTTCAAGCTCCAAAAAGTCTATGAAAAATAAGCCAACTACATCTCAGCAGGAAGGAGCAGAACCATCCATCTGCACTCATCATCTGGGTTTCTGTTGGTGGACATTCGCTAGGTCAGTGGCTGGTTTTGCTTGAAATCTGCCAGACTTTCACTTAGGAAGGCAGACTTCTGGAATTGTCATATTCCACTGCTACATGAGTGACAGATGTGGAAAGAAAAAACAGATCTGCATTTAATTATGCAAATATATGGCTAAGTTTAATAAGGCACTGGAATAAAACTGTCATAACTGCCAAGTTTGGGAAATATGATAAGTGTGTTTTTCATCATTGGCCATCATATTTAAGTAAAAAGACCAAAAAAAGGGACCCCAAAAGGGCCCACCCTTCTTGAAGAAACAACAGTCACACATCAGGGATCCCCAAGCTTCTTGCTTCTGCCAGGCACCATTCATGGTGACAAGTGATGCCAAAAGCTCCAGCAGCTGACAACAGCCTCCCTGGGAAAGGAGAAAGCTAATGTTTCAAGGTTGCTGTTTTTCTAATGAGAGCTGAGAGAGATGATGCATCCTATAATCACCTACCAACTCCGACTCATGGTCAGCCAGCTTCCTTCTCTGGTGCTGCTCAGCTCTGCTCTTTGTCTGTTCTTCCCAGCTGGGACAAAGTGGGACAGAGTGTCTCAGCTACTTTTAGAAGGGGCTGGGGAATATTCCCTTGCATGTTGTCAGGCAGTGGATGGGCATTTGGCAGCCCTCACCCCCTATCCCAACTGCTACTAGTACCTTTTTTTTTTTTTGCTGAGATTATTCTCCATCTACTCTATATATGTCTCGTATGGACTTAGTTATTTACATGTTTTCTCTTCCAATAGAATATGATCCTCTTGAGGGCAGAAGAGATTTTTTTGGGGGGGCCTTTTTGGTATCTCTAGTATCTAGCATAGTCCCTGCACTTAATAAGAGCTTAAGAAGTGTTCATGGACTTGACTTGACTTTGGGGCCATTGTTAAAAGCTCATACTTTCAGACTGTGCTAGTCTTTAGAAAGTGCTTCCTTTCCAACAATCTTATGTGGTAGAGCACTAGATCTGGAGTTAGAAGTCCTGGTTTGAATTTCACATGTGCTATGTACCCCTGTGTGACCTTAAGCAAGTCACAAGCTTTCAGGGCCTCAGTTTCCTTTTCTGTAAAAAGGAGTTGGACTTTTTGGACTCTGTTCTTCCCAGCTCATGTTTGCCAAATACAGTGAGGTAAGCGGTAGAGCTGCCTTCTGTTAACTGTAGTTATTCCCATTTTATGGGTGAGGAAATTGAGAATTAGAGATGAAAGATCAGAGAAACCTAGATCTCCTGCCTTGGGATTCAGGACTTACCCCACTATCAACCCATTAATCAACAAACATGTATTAGGCATCTACTATGTGCCAGAAACTTACTAGGATCTGTGGATACAAAGACAGAATTTAACAACCCCGGCCACAATGTTATCTTTTGCTGTTGAAACCTTGCCTTTCATTTATCCATTCTCTAAGAACTGGCTGTGGGCCAACACAAAAACAAACACTTAATTGTACTTGCCCTCAAGGAGTTTGTATTCTTTTAGAAGAAACCACACACACACACACACACACACACACACACACACACACACTGAAGTAAACACAAATACTTCCAAAGTGAATATAAAGTAATTAATGGATTAGGGCAAACACTAACAACTGGTGGAGATCTGTTTCCATTATCTCATGTCCATTGTGATATAGTACTAATTTTTCAACTCTAGTCCCGTGGCTCATTCACATTACTCTCTGGGTCAGTTTAATCCCAATAGCCCCTTGACTTCAGCAGGAGCTGGAACTAAAACAAATGGCTTAAGGCCATCTAGACAGTCAGTGATATATCCATGCATGGGTGTGAGTTAAGAATTTGTTTTATGTTCCCAGGTACTCATTGGGATGGTCCTTCCCCCTCAGGAAGCATGGACAGCACAGCTCAATCCCAGGACAGAATCTCAAAGTTGGAAAGGATCTCAGTGGGCTTCTATTTCAACCTGTTCTGGGGTAGGATTCCCCTCTACAGTGGTCCCAGCCTTTGCTTGAAGACTTCCAGTAAGGGTAAACCCATGACCCACCAAGGAAGTTGACCGACTTTTGGACAGGTTTAATTGTAAGGAAGTTTCTTTGGCTATCAAATCTAAAACTGACTTCTTTGTAACTTCTACCCATGTCTCTTAGTTCTGCTGCCTGGCACCAAGCGAGAGAAGGCTGACCCTTCCTCCACTTGACAGCCCATCAGATACTTGAAGACAGCCATTGTTGTGTCTCCTGTCTTCTCTTCTGCAGGATATATGTCCTTAATTCTTTTAATTGACCCTCACATGGCACGCTTGGAGGATTTTTTGAGAACCTCGTTCTCCAGTCATTAGAATCTCCTTGAGAACATAAATAGATCAGAGTATTGACATCTTTGGAAAACAGCCTCACAATGGAGATGATGGGATATCATGGGAAGAAGACTGAACCAAGTTCTTGTCCTGGATCTGTCAGCAACTAGATGGGTAACCTTGAGTAAGTCACTTAACCTCTGTCTGTATTCATTTACTTAGTTGTGAAATGGAGAGAATAATGCCATCCTTTATGTATACACGACGATGTTGTGGGGGTCAAAAGGAAGTAATATATGCAAAAGCATGGTGAATGCTGTTCCAGAGAAGGGAAATAGTGATGATGATTACAGTGAAGCTGATAGTGACTGTGGTGGTAATGTAGATGGTGAAGATATCAGTGATGATCATGGTGAACATGATGTAATCATGGTGGTGAGGTTGATAGTGACTGTTGATGATAACGATGTTGATGGTGATGGTGGTGCAGGAATAGTCTTCCCTCCTTCCCTTCTCCCTCACCAAATACCTCTGAAGGGCTGACTGCCATCCTAGTGTCACTGGAGTGACGCTTAATCGCCCTTCCTCTACTCCTAGAGTGGTCATAGAAACATCATCTTTCAAACAAAACAATAATAATAACAACTCGCGTTTATATAGCACTTCTTTAAGGGTTGTAAACTACTTTAGACACAATTTCTCTACCTTTGAGGTAGGTGTTACTGTGGTCCTCATTTTATAGATGAGAAAACTGAGGAATGGAGAAGTGAGGTTACTTGCTCAGGACCACATGACTTGTAAGTGTCTGAAGCATCATTTAAACTCAGGTCTTCCAAGATCCAAGTCCTGTGCATGGTCCATCACAATATTGGTTGTTGTCCTTTGTTCTCGAGGACGACCAAAATGACGTCACTATGCTAGGACCAAGTCCCAATGATAAGTTGCAGATACGCGGAAGCTCAAGGAGCACTTTTTGAATCTTGCGCTGTGTGGTTTTTGTTAGGAAGTCTGAGCACCAATCCTCCCACACCCTCCTCTGGTTTTGCTAGAAAGCGCTCAGAAAATTATATTTAGAAAGGTGCTTAGAGGACAATAAATGACTTGTCCAAGGTAACACAAGGAAGTAGTGGAACTAGGATCGGAACCCAGGTCCACTGACTCCAAATTATACATTCTTTCTACCGTACCACATTGCCTTTACCATGAACAATATTATTATGTTACATGCTCATCTGGTTTGTGTGCTTCAAAAAGGACAATAGCCAGTGACTGGAAAGCATTTTTTAACCATGTGTCAAGCATGAGGCTCCTTGTTGGAAGTACAAATACAAAAACAGACAGTCCCTGCTTTCAGGGACAGTACATGCTAATAGGTGGAGACAGAGTATCACAGGGAGTGGTGGCTAGGGAGATTTTGGTTTGGGAAGTCACTAGGATGGCATGGGGAATGACTGGGCTCCCAACTGACACGTGCTTTCCAGAAGTCATGTTAGCACTGATTTTATTATTGACCCCAGAGCAAGAAAGGGATAGAAAGGAGAAGATCAGGGTGTAAAACACCGTGTGACGGGGCAAATGGCAAGGAGATGGTCTCCTTGGATGGTCAGATGAGACAGGAAGCCAGGCCTGGGGTCTGAGATTGGCTGGATATTGTGGGCCATGTGTCTTGAATGGGCTAACTCATCAATCAGGACTGCACGGTGATGGTTCCAAAGCTGAGTGATTAAATCATTCAGGGCATGGTATCAGGAGGTCTGGTCATCCAGAGGGAGCAGCAGGCAGCTCGAAATGAACTTGAATTTGAATGTGAAGAGCAGAGTGGGATGGAAGATAGAGGATTTCAACCCTTTTTTTCATATTTTTAAATGCTGTTGTGTTTCTTCTTGTTCCAGGGGAAAAGCACTCTCCCCTGCTCTTTCTTTCTTTACCCATAAAGCTAAAGAAGTTTGTATATTGGGATTGCAGATGTAATTGACAGGGTAAATGAAACTGTCAAGAATTCCCACTCCTGCAGCTTCGGGGTTGACTGGAGCTCAGTTCCCATAGCAGGTAGGAGAAATTAAACCAGCCCAGTCCAGAGAAATAATGGACATGGTCCGTGAACCTGAGATGGAAGTCAGCCTTCATTCTACTTAGTTAGGACACCTTTGAAGGAGAAGCTGTTTGGGTGTCTGAAAGTCTCTCACCCAAGAGTTTATAAGAAAAAATGTTATCTCTGAGAGTTTTTCCAGTCTTGCACAACTGTTGTACTCAATGACTTTAGAAATCCAGACACAAGAGGGCAAGATTAGCTTTCAGGGATATCATAGCAGGGGCTGTAAATGGAATGCTCTTATTGTTTTCTTTATTTTTATCACCAAATTCCATTACACAACGGTAACAACTCTCGGGGCAGAACATTTGGAGGGTTTATTGTCCTCCCTGAGTTGTTAGCTGGCTGATCTCTGGCCCCCAGCCTTGGTACTCCACAAATGTTAGTGCTTGTCAGTCCCCAGGGTGAGTGGTAATTGTCAAATGGAGCTTTCCAACTGTCCCCTGTCAGTAATGGTTTTTAAAGGCCTGACAACCTGTGTTTTTTTCTTAAATCATAAAACAAAACAAGCTCTCCAACACTTTCAGTCCCTAGCTGCCTCTGTCTCTCTCTCTCTCTCTCAACATGTCTCTCTCTCTCACTATCATTCACAACAAGCTGCCTTTTATTTTCTGTACCAGTTACAAGGGAACCCCACATCCAGGGTCAGAGGATCATAGGTTCAGAGCTGGAAGGGACCTCCGAGGTTACCTAGCCAATTATCTTATTTTATATATGAGGAAACTGAGGTCCAGGGAGGGAAGAACGATTTGTTCAAGGTCACACAAGCTAGTAAGTGGCAGATCCAAGAACTGAACCCAGTCCTCTGATTCCAAATAGATCTATCAACAAATGTTGATTTAATGCCTATCTGTTTCAGACACTCTGCTAGGTTCTGGGATAAAAAAAGAGGCAATTGCTGTTCTCAAATCTACTGGTGAGACATGTGTATATCAATTAACAAGCATTTATTAAGTGCTTTCTATGTGCATATATGAGCTCATATCAAATAAATGCAAGGTAAATGTTTCTCTGGAGAAAAGCATTATTATTATTATTAATAGGATTTATATAGCAGTATAAGATTTGGAAAGTGATTTACAAATACTATCACATTTGATCCTCTCACCATTTTACGGATGAGGAAATTGAGGCACAGAGATATTAAGTGACTTTTCCAGGGTCACTCAACTGATATATATTGACAGTATGTACCTCTGATGCACCTGGCAGTGTGGCCCTGAACAAATCGCTCTAGGCAACCTTTAGGACTGTAAACTGCAGAGGAGATGCCAACCTACAGTGGTGGAGGGCATTTCCTCATCAGGAATGAAATCACAGGTCTTATCTCTGTCACTATTCCTACAGTTGAAGAAATTGAGGCACAGGGAAGTAAAATGAGTTTTCCATGGTCACACAATTAGTAAAATATCAGATCAGGTATTCAAACTCCAGTCTCCTGACTCCAAGTCCTTCGAGATGTTTTTTCTCACTTTTTAAAAGTTTTACTGATGCATTTTTAAATATTATAGACATTTCCATGTTACCCCCTCTTTATAAGAGCTCCTTGAAACAAAGCAAAATGATTCAAACTAACAATGCAGTGACCTCATGTGAAAGTGCTTGCAACATTCCCCATCTGTAGCATCGCCAACCTCTTTAACTGTTCTTTAATGAACAGAAATATTGATTCTCTCTTTCTCATCCTCCACCCCATTGAAAAAAAGGGAAATAGAAAAATAAAGTCCTTGTAATATACACATGGTCAAGCAAGAAACAACTCCCTCCTTGGCCATATGCAAAAATATCCATGTTGATTGCACCTATATAACCTATATCAAATTGCTTATCATGTTGGGGAGGGAGAAAATTTGGAACGCAAAATTTTTAAGAAATGAATGCTAAGAGACAGCTAGGTGGTGCCCTGAAATCAGGAGGATGTGAGTTCAAATCCAGCCTTAGACCAAACACTTGACACTTGCTAGCTATGTGACCCTGGGCAAGTCACTTAACCCCAATTGCCAAAAAAAGAGAAAGAAATGAATGCTAAAATAAGTCTTTGCATGTAATTGGAAAAAAATACTATTAAAATATTCATGGCTTATTCTGCTCCCTAGCTCTGTTACCTCTCTGTCAGGAGATGGGTGGCATGTTTCATCCTTAGGTCTCTGGAATCATGGATGGCCAAATATGTCAATCATGATTCTTATAGATTTCAAGGTTTTTTGTGTGTACTGTAGTATATAGATTGTTCTTTCATTTTTCACCAGTTTATTAAAGTCTTCAAAAAGGTTAGTTTTCTCCATAGCATGCTGGTCCCCTTAACCTCAGTTTCCTCATTTGTAAGATGATGAGGCTTGGACTAAATGATTTCTCCAGTTCCTTTCAGTGCTGGTATTCAATGACATATGTTTCATACGAGCAGCAAGTAGCATGCTGCAGATAGATGGAAAGCCATAGAAACAGAAAAACCTGAATTTAAGTCCTGGTTCTGACTCTGGGAAGACCACTTAACCCCTGAGTGCCCTGGGCAACTCTCTTCAAGCTAGAAGCTCGAGTTGAGTTGTCAATATACAGTAGAGAAGGAAGTTTCCATGCCCAGAATTTTCCCACAATGAAGAAATGGAAAGTTCAATACCCCTCAGCAGTATAAATACGTGAATGTTATCATATATGGTGTCTACATATGTATATAAGTATATACACATGAATGAAGACCTTATCCAGTCCCAGCTACACACATTTTGATATCTTTTTATTGATGATCTCCTTACCTTTACTTTGATATATCCAATTAAATGACACAATTCAGTTCAATCCCATAAGCTTTCATTAAACGCCTACTATGTGCTATTTTTTTCCCTGAAATACAGAGAAAAAAGGAAGCAAAATTTGTCCTCAAGGCATTTGCATTTTATCTGCTTATCTCTCTCAGAACAGATGTTTTATATCACACACACGTGTGTGTATATTATGTATATACACACACACACACACATATATATATATATATATATATAAATTACTTTTGGTGTTGTTAACACATGGCACAATATATTGACTCATCCTTTACTTGTGGTCCACTAAAACACCAAAGTCTTTTCACATGAATG